ACTTTACACACTTTACACACTTTACACACTTTACACACTCCTCACTCCACACTTTACACCCCACACTCCTCACTTTACACTCCACACTCCACACTCCACACTCTACACTTTCCACTCCACGCTCCACACTCTACACTTGACACTCCACACTTTACACTTCGCACTCCACACTTTACACTACACTTTACACTTTACACTTCGCACTCCACACTCTACACTCCACACTCCACACTCTACACTCCACACGCCACACTCCACCACACTCTACACTTTACACGCTCCACACTCCTCACTCCACACTTTACACTCCACACTCCTCACTTTACACTCCACACTTTACACTCCACACTCCTTACTTTACACTCCACACTCCACACTCTACACTTTCCACTCCACACTCCACACTCTACACTTTCCACTCCACACTGCAGACTTGGAACAGGGGAAATATGTACAAGACTGTTCAAATAAACTATTGCAGAAAAGTGTTCTGCGTGACTGCATATCCATGTGCTTCGACATCTGTACCATTAACGTACGTGTGAGCATTCGGGTTCGTGGGCTGCATCTTGTTTTTTTGCTTGTTTCATGTGGTCGACGTTCAGAGTCATTGCATTGAAGATCACCGAAGATCAGTGAATTTCATCATTGAATATCATCGCTGAATCTCATCATTGAATCCCATCCTTGAATCTCAGCTTTGGGTTTCATCGTTGAATCCCATCTTTGAATTTCATCATTGAACACCCGTAGTGCCGCACGAGGCTGTGGCGGAAGTTTCCAAGATACGAACCATACAGGAAAGGTGATATGTTTTGATGTCGCGACGTGAAGGCTATCAACTCAGTGAAACTCGCTGTCTGGTTTCATGATCCACCTGATGTAACTGATTTTTCTGACGTGCCTGACTTATCTATCTGTCTATCTATCTGAGCTATTTGACCTGTCTTGTGTATCTGAACTGTCGGAGCATTCGGGGCTATCTATCTATCTGATCGATCGATCGATCTATCTATCTACCTATCTGATCTATTTACTTACCTCTCGATCGATCTGATCTATCTATTTGATTTGTCCATATGATTCTTCTATCTCATCGGTCGATCTATCTATATAACTACCTACAAAACTATCTACCTATCTATCTGTCTATCTGCCTGGTTTTGTTATCTATCTATCTGTCTACCTAACTATCTACCTATCTACCTATCTATCTACCTATCTACCTATCTACCTATCCACCTACCTATCTACCTATGTACCTATCTACCTATGTACCTATCTACCTATCTACCTATCTACCTATCTACCTATCTACCTATCTATCTATCTATCTATCTCCCTATCTATCTATCTATCTACCTATCTATCTATCTACCGATCTATCTATCTATCGATCTATCTATCTATCTATCCGTCTATCTATCTATTGATCTATCTATCGATCTATCTATCGATCTATCTATCTATCTTTCTGTCTTTCTTTTTCTATCTTTCATTCTTTCTTTCTGATGTATCTATCTGTCTGATCTAGCTATGTATCCTTTTCTCTATCTACCTGTCTATCCGAGTTACCTGTCTATCTATCTATCTGTCTGTCTATCTATCTGATCGGTCTGATGTGCCTATCTGATCTATCTACTTGCCTTTCTGATCTATCTTTTTGATCTGACTTTGTATTTACCCTTGTACCTTACTGATCTATCTGATCCACCTACCTGTCTGACTGATGAACATATAGCCAACCTGCAAGGCACTTGCCAAAAAATCGGAGTTGAACTAACAAACATGCAGCAATTGTGCGAGACTTCCTCCAGAAATGAAAGTTGCAGAGCTGAAAGCGAAACTTTGCGAGGCTTCCTCCATTTTGGAGATGCTGGCTGCACAACTTGCAGCTCCATACCATTGCTCTTGGCAATTTTTCCATCTGAAGTGTTGAAAGTACTGCGCTTGCCACGAAAAATTGAAGCCGAGTCATCGGAAGTGCTGTGCCTGCCACGCGAAATCATCTTCAAAATTTCAAAAAACCCGAAGCTCAAAAATGCAACCTCTGATTGCAAAGCATAGAAAAAGCTGGTTTTTGCGACTTTTTGCAACGTGCCGATTTCCTTTCGCCTTCCACGCAAAACGCAGTGCCCAAGGATGCGGTAAAGCACTGGCCTTTAAAGGTAATGTCTGCTGGCTACAGCTAGTGGTCTGATGGCCGCAGGAATTAAAAAAAATCTCGCTACGCAGCGCCGCCCATCACTATACTTGCACGGGGTGGTAAAATTTCTATAGAGATCTTTACCCCGTAAGGCAAAATCCTAGGCCAGTGGTTCAATAGTTAAGCTGGTGCCTCGAAAAATCCGAGGACCACTTGGTCCTTCGGTAAAACATCATGTCAGCGTAAAACGCTAAATGCAAAAACCAGCGGAAAGTATGTCATGCCGCACGACTTTCGCTTTCAAGTGTTTTTGTTCTGACTTACGAAGTAAGCTTGCCCAGAAACCAAGATGGAAGATGAATATCCGAGAAAGGGAGGATCCGAGACCGAAGCTCCTCCCTATGTCTTAGCCCGACAAATCCTTTCCGCTGAACCGGTGGAGGGCGCTATGCGCTTGAATCACTTCTACACCCTTGAGGAAGGAACCCACCAGTTCCTCTTGTAGATTCAATGAGCGGTTGGTTTAAGTATTGTAGAATACAACTCTGTTAGAATAATAAGAGGCCGGGCATGACCAGAGGAAAATCCGTAAAAGCAACTTTTCCTTTGGACTAGCAAAGCAGCTTCGCGCCACAGCGGCGCGAAAATTTTTGCGGAGCTTTTCCAGCCGACCTCTCTGCGCCCGCCGTTTTAGCGAGCAAACCTTCTGACCGTCCAGAGCGACGAAGCATGGAGAAAACATAGGATTGCGCGCTGCGTCTCGTCACTATCTATCTCTTGACTGTCTATTGCTTCATCTTTCGAAGAGTCGGAAGTGACTTCAACCCATCGCTGAACGTCATTGAACGGTAGACTGCCGTAGACCCTTGATTCAAGTGCGTTCTCATTCTCCGCTGTGGCTTGCCCTTGGATAACTTTACACGATGCTGAGGCTTTGGAGTCATTTTTCAAGACGGTTTGTCGGCTCTGTTGGCTGCTGGCAACTGCAAAGCCCGCTGTCCCACCAGGGAACAGGCAGGAAAGGGGCATGGAAAATTTATGGACAAGCGATAAACGGCATTTCCGAGTTCTCTGGAAAGTTTTCGAGAAATGGCGATAAAATGTTATGTTTTCATGTTCTTGTTGGCAGACTCGCTGTTGTGATTCCTTGCCGTCTCATGACGATTACCTTTCCAAGAAGCCTTGCACTTTCAGACAGCACAAGCATTTTTAAAACATGTTAAAACAGAACATGTATCAAGATCAGAAAAAATATTCCGGAAGGATGAACCCCACCTGCCAGGTGAGGTTTGTTAGATTTTATCAGAGCTGTTGCTGCTCTGCCTCCTCACTCTCCTCCTCATTTTCCTCCTCATTCTCTTCGTCGTCCTCCACCGCCGGGCCTCCACTGCATGCTGGACCTCCACCGCAAGATTCAGGGCAGAAAGATTTTCAGAAGATACGTCAGATAGAATGCCAGGTTTTATGCCAGATAGAATGCCAGAATATTTGCCGGAAGATATGTCAGGTAGAATGCCAAAAAGAATGCTAGGATATATGCCAGATAGAATGGCCGAACTTTTGCCAGAATATATCTAATGGCACAGTATGTGTCAAATAGGGTGCCAAACATAAGCCCAAAATATGTCAGATGGAATGCCAGGATGTATAGAATTCCAGAAAGAATGCTAGGATATATGCCAGATAGAATGTCAGATAGGGTGCAAAATATTTTGCCAGATTAAAATCCAATGCCAGCTAGAATGGCAGAGCATGTGTCAGGTAGAATGCCAGATACGATGCCAAAATGTATTTCAAATAGATTGCCAGAATATTTGCCAGATAGAAGGTCAAGAGATATGCCATGACGGTTCTGTCTCATTCCAAGGGGTGTTTGGGTGTTGTGCCATCAGACAGCATGTGTTGAAACATGTCGAAACATGTTAACCTTGTGACTGTCACGACCGACAGATCTTTTTTTAAGAAGCCAATCCAAAGTACCCTGCGGAGGTGCAAGGCGCGGGAGAACACATTTTTGCGAAAAGTACGGGGACTGACCACGTGGATCTCTTCAGTGGTCATTCCTGGAAAGCCGGGCGCTGGGAGAAATTTTTCTCGCTTTGCACGTCACTGGACATCCAGTTTGATGATTTTAATGTTTCAAGCAACGACGCGCATCAGTTCGTAGGTAAAAATCACAAGCAAATTTAGTGGTAGTCGGAAGCCACGCATACTGGGAGCAAGAATTAGTTTTTGAATTTTGATCATATCTTAGTTGTGTATTCTAAGCGTATTGTCAAAAGATAAGGAGGTTTCCTCAATACAGCTCTCATATGACCCTCTACAAAGGGATAGGAACCTTTTGGTAATTGGCGCTTTGTGCAGAACTTTGTCACATCGTCACTATTTGTTTTTTCCGTGTTGTAGGTCTAAAGTGAGACCTGTCGGGGCCACTAGAAACCATGGTTTTAATGAAAATTGAAGGGTCGTTCTTAGCGCAATGGGATAGTTGGTTTTCCTGTTGAGGGTGGTCTGGATTGCATTGTTTTGTCCCAGCCGATGGCGTCCAGCGCTGTGTTCAACTAAGCTAGGGGTTTTACATTTTGATACATTTTGTCACATTTTGATACGCTTTGTCACATTTTGATACTAAGGTTGAAAAAGGGGAAAAGTGCAAACCGCCCAAAGCGATATTTTTCTTGAGCCAAAAGCCAAAAGATCCTGAGATTAGTGCATGTCACCCTTGCAGGGGCCAATCTTTACAACCCTGTTATGCACTCCTCGATTTGTGCGTGAGGCTTCCATGAGCCACACTCCCCCTGGCATCCCATGGCATTCGGTGAATGGAAGGTCCTTGTGGCCTCTTGAAAAGTATTCACAAACTCATCGTCCTGATTTTCAGGACTATTCTCGGAAGGGACTGACCGGCCAGCTTCAACAATTGGCTGGGGAATCCGACCACCCTACTCAATTTCTCACCATCTCCATCCGGCAGCTGGAACCCGTACTCGACATCCTCTGCTGTCCAAGGCCTCATTCCCAGTTCCACTGGAGATTGAACAGCAATCCGGCCTCTGGCTCCCGATGATCCCGACGTCCCTCCTCTGTACGTCGGCCGCATCATGTCCAACCCCGGTGGCAAAGGTGAGCTCGGTGGTTCAGTTGGTGAGTCCACCAGGTTTCCTCCAGCACGTGCCAATGCATCCTGCCGTAAGTTCTTCTTGTCAAGCCTCTCTAAATCCTACACTCATGGATGCCGCCTTTGATCTCGTTCCACCAGGATGATCTTCTTCCAGTGTTGGTAGAGTGCTGCTCACGACTCTCCATCCTGATGCCATCATCGATGCATGGATCGCGGTGGTTTCTCTGTGGGGGTTTGGGAAGGCCATGAGCTAGCTTCCGATCTCCCTGACGATGCACCGCTGGTCATCGCCGATAGCTCCTCCACCGATGGGTCGCCTCGCTGATAGAGCTCCTTGATCTCGAATCGCCGACAGAGCTCCTCGATCTCGAAAATCACCTTAGAGCTCCTCGATCTCGAATCGCCGATAGAGCTCGCTGACGATGTAGTTCCTTCAGCTGCCACAGTGGTGGGATACCCATGGTATCTTGGAGCTGGAGGACGCATGTGGAGAAGATCCTCTGCTCTTCTCCTGGGCAATGGCGGCCGAGGACCCATCGCCGGATTTGTGATGTTCTCGTCCTGCATCGCCTCCTCCATTGCCTCATGGTCTCGCCAGGCATCATCTTACGTTCTAGCCTGAACACCGTAAACCCTTTCCACTGCCCAGCACCCCGCCATCCAGCTCTTGTGGTACACCTGATGCCCGCCGGTCCGTATAAGTCCTCCTGACCCACCTTCCTCCACGGCCATCAGTCGTGAAGACAAACACCACCGTTGTTCTCTCTGGCCCCAGAGCCTCCAAAGGGAAAGGTGTTGATCGATGTAGAGGATGGCATGCACGTCGACGTAAGCTGCCATGCCCCCGCACCCACTAGCCGCCAGGATACAAAATCCATTGGTCATGACCACATGCTGGGTAATAAACTCCTCCAAATCTCTCCGGGTTGCCAAGCGGACTGCAGCCAGTTTGGCCGCTCCCTCGATCCCATGGCTTCCCACGCGGTCGCGCCCCATATCGGGAGCCATTTAGGCTAAGTGTGGGGGTTGGGTTGGGGAACTGGCCAGGTTCATCTCCACTTGGCCCTTCTTGCGATCTTCCACCTCCACTGGGTTCATGTTGGGCCCTCAGTGTCAATGGCTCTTGTGGTACACCTGATGCATGCCCACCGGTCCGTAGTGCTCCTGACCCACCTTCCTCCACGGTCATCAGTCGTGAAGACAAACACAACCACTGTTCTCTCTGGCTGCAGAGCCTCCAAAGGGAAAGGTGTTGATCGATGTGGAGGATGGCACATGGTGGGCGATGAAGCTCCTCCAACTCCCACAATCTCCTGGGGCCCAAGCGGACTACAGCCAGCTTGGTCGCTCCCTCGATCCCATGGCTTCCCACGCGCCCACCGATCGGGAGCCATTTAGGCAGTGTCGATGTTTGGCCAGGTTCATCTTCCCTTGACCGAGTTCTTGTGCGTTCTCACCCCCCCCCACCCTGCACAGTTTGGGCACCACATCCATGCCCTTTTCTTCTTGAAGTAGGGAGCCCTTTTCTCCTCATCTGGGACCACCATCCCAGCCAGCAGGTAGAACTTCTCCCATTCACTTTTCTGCATCTTCGCCTTGGTGAGGGGGTCTGGTACAAGAACTTCTCCACGTAGGTGACGGGCCTTCCACCATTCCTTCTTGATTCGCTCCCTCAAGACAAAGGCACGGAGTCTCACAAGTGGCGTGTCCTGAAGGGTCCATCTGGGCACAGCAAATCTGGATGCCAGCCTCGGATCTGACATCGTATGGTCCTCCAGTGGATCGATCACCGCCATCAGCGCCTCCCCCATATCCATGCCCCTCCACATAGCCAATGAGTTCCGCCTCCGCAGTGGACAATGCGGCAAAGGGCTGAAGGCTCGATGACCATGCGACCACTCCACCACCATACAGCCCAACCGTCCCATGCTGGCTCCTACCTCCTCATAGTGCAAAACTGGCATCTGCATGGATCTCCACCCGGGTCATCTTCCTGGGAAGTGGGAGCTATTGTAGGGACCATGGTCTCCTTGATGCCTCTGATACCTCAGGCAGAGGTGTTGGGTTTCCTTGGCGTATCCCAGCATGTAGTCCGCTAACTTCACCACTTGCCTCGGTGACTTCGTAACCCATTCTTCCCATCCACGACACTCCAAAGCTGAGATCTGGTCGCGTTCTTACCGACAACCAGAGCAACTCCCCAACCACCGACTGAGCTGCATGGACCTTCTTTGCCGTGATGTTCAGATCCTCCACGGGGGAAAGGAAACTGCATTCCCCGCACTTCCGGGTGCTTCTCCAACAAGGAGGCTGCGTAGGACGGCTGTCCAACAAGCAAGCCACCAGCCTGCCATTTCATTTCTAACCCGCAAAACTTGACCCACTTCTCCTCAGACACCCACTCAGGAGGGGAGCGTTTCCACTGAGCTTGGATTCGCTCCGGGACACTGGCAACCATCTCCTCCGGGCTCACCACGCTCATTGCGTCCACGTAGGTGATGACGAAGCCCAAAGTCCTGTCTTGTAGCTTGACATTCCACTCCTCACCCTTCAGAGGTTTGGCTCGGTCGTCGCTTCCACCCACCACGGCTCTCTTTGAAACATGCCCTTGAACTTCGGGAGCCATTCATCTCGGTACGAAGTTCAATCCCCAGGAGAGGTGTCCAGCCCATACATGGCATTCCGAATGATCCATATCTCGTCCTCCTCGCAGATTCCAGCCTCGACTAGCACCCGGGGAGGCTAAGTCACCAACAACTGCTCCTTGTTCTTCTTCCGAGGGGCAAGCAAAAAGGCCGTGCGCACATCTAGGGTTGCCACGCCCCACGCTGATGTGCTGCCTTTCTCAAAAGGCATCTGACCAGCGTCCCGTCCGCTCCTCCTGCGCACTTCTGGTACTGGTCGTGGACGGCAGCCTCAGGGCCCTGATCAAATTCCCGCAGACCGTAACTCTTGCTTTCCGTCGGCCTTCGGGAGTTTTGATTGCTGGCAGGAGTTTGGAGCACCCCTGAAATCCTGGTTGGTCTTCAGGTCCTCTACGCTCACCTTCTCCACCGCACCTGTCACTGTGGTTAGAGATTCACACTCCGCCTTGAGAGCCGCCTTCCAAGCCTCTATAGGACGCAAGATGCCACCTCTCTTCGGTGCTTGTGCTCCTCACCAGGTCTTGCTCCAGGTAGTCCAGGTTCTGCAGAATGTACTCCATGGAGGCACCGCAATCTTGGCCTTCGCCCTTGTTCATCGGGGCTCTCTTCAATTCCTGGTTCAAGCAGCACTTCCATACCCAGTGCTCCATCGTTTCTACCACCGTCTGCCACTCGCTCCTCGAAGTTGAAGCCCCCACTGCTTCACTTCTTCAAAGTCCCAAAAGCTTGGCAGGTGCTTCGCCTCTTCTTCCTTGAGATGGTTCATTGGGTCCCCCGATGACTCCATCAAAAACCAAGTCCTCTCTCGTCTTGTTGTGTCGGTGAAAGTCTAGGCAGACCGAACGGACAAGGACCTGGCCTCCTTTCTCCCAACCGACTGGTAATACTGGAGGGAGGACCGCCCACCACAGCATGGACCTGTCCACAGGCCGCTACAGTATCTCTCAGACATACGCACATAGGGCTTATCCATGTAAGTTGTAGGCCTTCGTCGTGTTGAGCACGTCAATGGAGAGCACCTCGTACCCGTTCTTCAAGCCATCCTCCCACTTCTTCATCATCTCCGGAGGAGAGATGTAGGACTACACCTCGAGCAGCCCATAGCCTCCTCCTCTTCCTCCTGTTGAAAGGCAGGTGCCCCAGCTCCTTCCAAGGTTTCGACTGGCCCCTCATGTAATTCCAAGTCTCCTCCGGAACTGCAGGAAACCTGTCTCACCACCACTGACGATCCTCCTCTGAAAGGCTTGTCACTCCACCTCCCATCTGAGTCTCGATCTCCCGAAGCAGCTCCAGACTTTCCATCGCTGGCCATCCGTTTCTCGTCACACATTGGAGATCGGTGCAGGAGCCTGATGTAGTTTCCATATTTCGTTTCCGTCAAGCAGGGCCACGTCGCCCACCACCGTATCTCCCTTCTCCCAAGCTGCGGATCCTCACCGCCTTGACATGTCTCAAGGATTTTCTCTTCCTCCTGCAACAACCTCACCGCGGCTGTTTCCTCAGTGCTCCCCTGGTGAGAGCTGGGCCCTTCATGGGCTCCTTCCCACCATTCCCAGCAACGCCCTTAGTCAGTGGTAGAAGAGCTCGGCAAGGCCTCTGCATCCTCCTTCGCCTTCTCACCACCTCCCTTCATCTTTGATACATCCTTTGAGTCTTCTGAGGTGGGTCCTTCTTCTCCTTGTGAACGGACCCACGATGGGGACAATCCTTCTTCATATGTCTATCGCCACTGCAGCCAAAACATCGTCCCTCCTTTGCAGTTCCTTCCCAATCATGGCTGAAACTGCAACCGTCACCTCTTCTGCATCCTTCAGCTTCGGCCCGGCTTTCCTTCTGACGACTTCCCCATCCCCTCTTCGGTGCCCAGGGCTGCAACCTTGACTGCCGTCGCTCCCGTGGATGCAACCGCCGAGTTGCCCGTCTGAGACTTGATGCCCCCCTCCGTAGTCAAAGCCAGTTCCTCTGCCTGGAGATACTCAGCAAACTCCATCACCGAGTGAAGTGCTGGTCGATGGTCCACCTTCAGAGATTCTGTATCCATGCTGTGAGCCACCCAGCTTCGCCACAACATCAGCGGCCTTGGTCAACGGGTTCATCAGAACTAAGGCATCAGGAAGAACCAATTGAAGCTCCTGAGCCCTGCTGATCCACTGATCCACCTTCTCCACTGCCTGATGGTGTTGAGCACCTCCTGAATGGTAGTCCCAGGCCTCATGTCCGTAACCTGCTTGAGTAGAGCCGTCCTCTCGGCTCCACCACCAGGTTGAAAGACCGTGAAGAACTTGAACAGCATGGCCACCGTAGACAAAGTCCTTCCCGCGACAATGTCCTTTCCTCAGGAGTTCTGGAATCCAATAGCATCGGCATCCCTCTCTGCTCAATCCTCTGGAAGGGGCCAACATGTTGAGAGCCAACCGGTCGGAGGCGAAGTCGTTCAAGGGGAGACGCCACCAGCCATCTGCTGTAGACTTCATTGACCTCCTTCAGAACTTCATTCCACCAATCCCTCGCACTATGCGCCACATCTGTCATGACCGGTTAAACCAATGCCAACCAGTCACCAAATTATAGAGCAGCTCCATCCGCACCTGGAACAGGCAAGGAGGGCAGTTCACTCGTTCGCAACGACTCCTGGTGAGTACCAAAGGGACCTCCAGTCCCAACACCTTCACCTCCAACAAAACAGGAGGGGGGGGCTAGGTGGCGCTCAACCCCTCCCGAACCTCCAGGTTGTCCAGGGCTCCTCACTGGTTCTCCTGCAACCTCCATGCCACCACATCCCTCTGCCTGATCCGATGCCGTGTGGTATGATGCAGCGTCTACCGTTTCTCCTCTAATCTTCCTAAGTTCCTTCCTGAAATCCTTTTCAGCCCCCTTCAAAACCCTTTGTCTGATTCCTTCAATGTCTTCCTCCATAGATCGGCCAGGTGACCTCTGACCCCCCAGCGCCTCTCCATAGCCTCCAGCCTGTGCCTCCCGCCATAGACGTCCAGCTTGCTGAGGAAGTCCAGGAGATTCCATCATCACCGATCTCTGCACTGTCGGACTCCAGAACGGGTTCATTGAAGCACTGCACCTTGATCTCCACCAAGAGGTCCTTGTCCTCGTATTCCAACCGGGCCCAATGGCCGGTCCCAGCCATCCGTGAGGTCCACTTCCATGCCTTTCACCTTGTCCCTGATCGACTCCCGCGGCAAGGGGTGCAAGTAGGCCATGTACCGGAAGTTGAGCACCAATACCTTGAGGAATGGTGGAGGGCCTGGATGGTACGCATCAAGTTGGTCCCTGCCACCCGCGCCTTCCATCCTTCCGTGTTGAGAACCATAGTGCCCACCCTCGGAAGTCCTTACAGCCTGACCTTCCCTCTGGTAGTTATATGAATTTCTCCTTCACGTTGAACTTCATTTCGATTTCCACCGTGGATCCTTCCCCATGACCTCCAGCCTCTTCTATTTCTTTCAGCCTTCTGAGTCCTTGGGTCCTCTCTGCCGGTGGTGAAGATCTTGCCCGTCGCTCCATCTCAATCAACCTGTCCAGCGTCTGGTCGGGAGATTCCCTTCGTCTGGCTTTGGAAGATTCCCTACGGCGATTCATGGCGAAAAAGATGTTAGCCCGAATTCAGCTTCTTGGGCTCATAACCTAAGGTTGAAAAAGGGGAAACGTGCAAACCGCCCAAAGCGATATTTTTCTTGAGCCAAAAGTCAAAAGATCTTGAGATGAGTGCATGTCATCCTTGCAGGGGCCAATCTTTGCAACCCGGTGATGCACTTAATCTCGATTTGCGCGTGAGGCTTCCATGAACCACAGATACATTTTTGATACATTTTGTCACATTTCGCTGCACTGTGTCACACTTTGATACATTTTGATACATTTTGATAGATTTGATGCATTTTGTCACATTTTGTCACATTTTGCTAGATTTTGATACATTTTGATACATTTTGTCGCATTTTGTCACACTTTGGTTACATTTTGTCACATTTTGATCAATTTTCATCCAGTTTGTCACATTTTGTTTGATACATTTTGTCACATTTTGTCACATTTTGATACACTTTGTCACAATTTGTCACATTTTGATACACTTTGTTACATTTTGTCACATTTTTTCATATTTTGATCGAAGGAAGTTTAGAAGTCAAACTTCCGACAATATGGACAGATGAGAAGCAGAGCAGGGCAGAGGCAGAGAGAAGAGAAAGATCAGAAGAGAGAAGAGTAGAAGAGAAAGAGTAAGAAGAAAGAAGATGGAGATGCGCGAAAAGGTAGGAAAGTCGCGATTCACTGTGTTTTTCCACTAATTTGTGGCTCCGGAGGGTCGAAAAGTAGGCTCGCTAAAGCGGCGGGTACGGAGCCAGCTGGCGAGAGGAGAGATGAAAAATTGCACGCCGTTGTGGCGCGAAGCACATTTCCAAGTCAAAATGTACAAAACACCTGGTGCTCGGAGCACTTCTGGAAGTTGAGATGTCGAAAAAGTGCACGCCGTTGTGGCACGAAGCACATTTGCAAGTCAAAATGTACAAAACACTAGGGGTTCGGACCACTTTTGGAGGTTCGGATGTCGAAAAAGTGCATGCCGTTGTGGCGCGAAGGACATTTCGAAGTCAAAATGTACAAAACACTAGGGGTTCGGACCACTTTTGGAGGTTCAGATGTCGAAAAAGTGTACGCCGTTGTGGCACGAAGCACATTTCGAAGTCAAAATGCGAAATTAAAAACATCAGGGGTTCGGACCACTTTTGGAGGTTCAGATGTCGCTTCCCTTCACTACACTACACTACATTACACTACACTCCACTACACTACACTCCACTCCACTACACTACACTACATTACACAACACTACAACTACAACTACACAACTACACTCCACTACACTCCACTACACTCCACTACACTAAATTTCACTACACTACATTACGCTACACTACACTCCACTACACTACATTACACTACACTACGTTACCTTCCACTACACTACACTACATTACACTACACTACACTCCACTACACTACAACTACAACTACAACTACACAACTACACTCCACTACAATACACTCCACTACACTCCGCTACACTAAATTACACTACACTACACTACATTACACTACACTACACTCCACTACAATACACTACATTACACTACCTTCCACTACACTTCACTACATTACACTACACTACAACTACGACTACACAACTACACTCCACTACGCTCCACCACACGAAGTTACACTACACTACACTACATTACACTACACTACATTCCACTACACTCCACTACACTACACTACATTACACTACACTACATTACACTGAATGACACTGCACCACAGATAGACAGATAGACAGGTAGACAGATAGACAGACAGACAGATAGATAGATAGATAGACAGGTAGACAGCTAGACAGATAGACAGATGAAAGAGAAATAGATAGATAGATAGATAGATTAGATTAGATTAGATTAGGTTAGGTTAGATTAGATAGATAGATAGATAGGTAGGTAGATAGATAGATAGATAGATAGCCAGCTAGCTAGCTAGATAGATAGATAGGTAGATAGGTAGATAGGTACTTAGGTACTTAGGTACTTAGGTACTTAGGTACTTAGATGAAAGAGAGAAGGAGAGAAAGAGAGAGATAGATAGATCGATTGATAGATAGATAGATACATAGAAGATAGGTTGGTAAGTAGATAGTCAGAGAAAGAGTGAGAAAGAGCGGAGACCTCAAGCACCTTTCGGTCCATCAGTGGATTCGCTCTGCCATCACTGGTTCACAACAGCCAATCTCTCCTATAGGTTTCCTATTTTTGAAACTTCCGCCACCGCCTTGTGCGGTACTACTGGTACATGTTGAGTTTTTTCCTCACATTTTGTCACATTTTGATACATTTTCATTCCCCACCTGCCAGGTGAGGGTTGTTAGATTTTATCAGAGCTGTTGTCCTCCTCCTCCTCCTCCTCCGCCTCCTCCTCCAGTTTCTCCCCGACCATGTCTGCATCAACTTCCACCTCCACTTCGGCCTTGCCAACTCTTCGCCAAGCTCTTCGCCAACTTCCGAGCTCAGTGCGCACTGCTGGATTCCCAGCTCAGTGCGCACCGCTGGGCCTCAACCTGGGACCTTCCCAGCCCAGTGCGCACCGCTGGACCTCAACCTGGGACCTTCCCAGCTCAGTGCGCACCGCTAGACCTCAACCTGGGACCTTCCCAGCTCAGTGCGCACCGCTGGACCTCAACCTGGGACCTTCCCAGCTCAGCGCGCACCGCTGGACCTCAACCTGGGACCTTCCTAGCTCAGTGCGCACCGCTGGACCTCAAAAGCCAGATAGAATGCCAGAAGATATGCCAGAAGATATGCCAGATAGAATGTCAGAAAGAATGCCAGAAGATATGCCAGATAAAGTGCCAGAATGTTTGCCAGATAGAATGCTAGAAGATATGCCAGATAGAATGCCAGAAGGTATGCCAGATAGAATGTCAGATAGAATGCCAGAAGGTATGCCAGATAAAGTGCCAGAATGTTTGCCAGATAGAATGCCAGAAGATTTGCCAGATAGAATGCCAGATGGAATGTCAGAAGATATGCCAGATAGAGTGCCAGAAGATATGCCAGAAGATATGCCAGAAGATGTGCCAGGTAGAATGCCAGAAGATATGCCAGATAAAATGCCAGAAGATAGAATGCCAGAAGGTATGCCAGATAGAATGTCAGATAGAATGCCAGAAGGTATGCCAGATAAAGTGCCAGAATGTTTGCCAGATAGAACGCCAGAAGATTTGCCAGATAGAATGTCAGAAGATATGCCAGATAGTGTGCCAGAAGATATGCCAGAAGATATGCCAAGTAGAATGCCAGAAGATATGCCAGATAGAATGCCAGAAGATATGCCAGATAAAATGCCAGAAGATATGTCAGATAGAATGCCAGAAGATTTGCCAGATAAAATGCCAGAAGATATGCCAGATAGAATGCCAGAAGGCATGCCAGATAGAATGTCAGATAGAATGCCAGAAGGTATGCCAGATAAAGTGCCAGAATGTTTGCCAGATAGAATGCCAGAAGATTTGCCAGATAGAATGCCAGATGGAATGTCAGAAGATATGCCAGGTAGAGTGCCAGAAGATATGCCAGAAGATATGCCAGGTAGAATGCCAGAAGATATGCCAGATAGAATGCCAGAAGATATGCCAGATAAAATGCCAGAAGATATGTCAGATAGAATGCCAGAAGATTTGCCAGTAACAAGACGTATAGATGTCATGGTGGCGATCACTCGAAGTAAAGTAATTTATTTTGATACATTTTGTCACATGTTGTCACTAGGTATTTCAACTTGCAGTTCGCAATCGCATGCTCCTTCACAGCTGGCTTGGGCGGAAGTATGCTGCTCTTTCCCTGTTTGGTCTGTTTTCCAATGGTCACCTTCGCAATCGTCCTGATCTTCGGACACGAACTTCCCTTGGGCCGCTCGTTGCCAACGTGTTGGCTTGATCGGATCTGCGTTCATCAAACAGACATGGACAAGAAGAAAGAGCAGATCAATGCTTTGCCAGTCTTTGTTGCGCAATCTTCCAAGATGCTGGTTTTGTGGGATCAGACATACTTCGAAAGGCTTTGGTGCAATCTAGAGTTGGCAACGTGTGCGCGTTATGGGGGCACTGATAAAATTGAGTTGATGCCTCTTTGGTTGGCTCCGTGGTTGCTGTCCACAATTTTCCTGGATCTGTTAAGTGCAGGCATATTGGAGATCATGTTCCACCTTTTTCCCAACTACAGTGCGGCATGGATGCACGACATTTCTGAGATGTCTGAATCTATATTCGGGCACAATCCTGCCATGGAATCATTCGTATCCACTTTTGCCGTTTGGATGTTTTCGGGCATCGCTTATCTGCCCGTTTCTATACCCAGTTTCTTCTGCTTTCGAGCAAAGCTTCTCAGCCATCAGTTGATGCTGGAGCAGATGTCAACTTTTGATGTGAGAGCAGCGCACTGCACAGTGGCTTCAGATCGTGCTTCCATAGAGGAGCAGGCCCGGGCGCAGGGATTTTCTTGTTGTCAGGATCAGGCGCCGGGTTCCGTTATCTTCACCCAAGTATCAAAAGGATTCAAAAGGCAGATTATTATTGGAATTTTGGATAAACAGCGCCGTTTCGTGCAAATGACCGTTTAAGCACTGTAGAACAAAGAGTAAAAAACATAAAAATGCGAAATTTGCTAATCATAGTTTCATACTCTGTACGCTCAACGCACGGCGGCTGCAACTTTGTCTGGACAAGTCAGGGGCAAGTCCGGTGCAGAAACGGACCAATCAGAAAGATCACAAGAAATTCGAAAAAATTACCGCATCGTGAGTTGAATGAGTTCAAGGTGAATGCGTTTTTTTCTGGATTGGATGTTGTGATGCATGTTTTGCAAAACGACAAGGAATAGAATTGATGACGATCCCCTTACCTGGTCTTTCTGCTTGATTTGCTCATGTTTTCTCACGTCATCTTTCTCTATGCCCTACGGCCGTTGGACTGTCCAGAGGTCACGGCGCTGTTTTCGGGGATGGAGGACAAGACAGCAGCACCTTTGCCATCTGCTGTTGATGATGGCGAGGCGGGCAATGTTTTTAGCTACGAAAAAGCCGGTGGATATTGTATGGATTTGTAGGCCATGGGCAAGGACACGCGTGGTAGGGAAGCCCTAGTTAGGCTCATCATAAACCAGAGGACCAGAAGAGAACGTGAGAGAACAGAGTCAATGGAGAATTGGGGCCGTTGATGTCAGCTTGTGTGAAAACAAGAACGGCGCCTTCAAGTTTTTAATTCAATTTGGTGAACAAAAGTCCCACTGTATTTTGTTAGCCATTCCTGCCCCGGTACGCCAGAAAAAAGATCACCGTTTTCTCTTCTTTGGAAAATCTGACTGCCTCTTTTTCCTGTTGGTCAAAAAGAATGGAAGGAGAAAAGAAAGACAGAATACAAGAGAAGGAGGGAGAGAGAAGGCATAGAGAGCTTGGGGAAAGAGAAAGGAAGAAGAAAAAAGTAGACGAAAGGAAAGGGAAGTTTCACAAGAGTGTCTTGCAAAAGTGCTTTACAAGTGGTTTGCACGTGTCACACCGAAGTGTTTCATAAGTGTGTCGCGCGAATTTGTTTCACATGACTGTTTCGCAAAGCTGTTTCACAAGAGTGTCATGCAAGGGTCATCCAAGATCCAAGAGTCTTTCACGAGAGTGTCATCCAAGGGTGTCTTACAAGAGTGTTTTCCCAAGTCTTACTGTAGAGATACAACTCTGTTCCGCAAGTCGGGGTCTTACAAGCGTGACCTACAACGCTTACAAGAGTCCAATGGTTTGCACGGCATTCAAGTGCATTGAAGGTTGTGGACGGTGTGTTTTTCGAGCTGCGAGTTCTGTGTTTGGAGAGGAGACAAGGGAGGGCCATCGCTTTTAAATTTTGGGGTGTGTGTCGTCGTTTTGCCCTGCTCAACCGGCGCAGGTGGTTCTTCAACGATTCGAACCGTTGCAAGAAGATCCTTTGGTCCGCTTCAACGCATTCATCCGGGGCAACCTGCGTGAATTCGTGATCTCTCAGATTGGAGATGAACTTTCAGTGCCGTATCACATTTGTTTAGTCGCATTCCTGCCAATGATTTTTTATTCCAGCGTCAATGTGCTGGGATGTGACAATGGGCCTTGTGCCAGCTCAGCCAAATTGGAAAGCTACAGGTCCGTGAGTGCGTACATGATCACGCAAACTGTCGGGTGGTTTCTTGTTTTGGTGTTGGCATCTCCATTGACCTACCCCCTTCTCCTCCGGATGATCACTTTCGTGCTCTCCTTCGGCGATGGTCCGTTACAGCTTCTCTTAGCCTTCCTTTGCTGCCCCCTGGCCTACATCTACATGTACGTTTGCGGCGGCATTTGGTGGGGGTCTTTAGTAGCTCTCATGACGAGGATACTTGGCAAGACCTGGGAACGGTGAAGAGTCAAAAATTCCAGTTGCCATCTGCTCCGAATTATCCAACGGGTCCGTTGTCGTTGGTGTTGAGGCAAATTCTTTCGCTTTGAACCGAACAGGTTTAGATATCTGTAGATATTCGGTTTTACATTTTCAAGTATGGACACCTGCAGAGATACACGGTAGGGTTGGGGTGCGCTCCAAAAGATAGGCCTTCGGACTGTAGCCTCCATTAAACACATGATATCAATGGATGTGGCGCATACTTGGCTGTGCAAAACGATGCAAAGCTGCAGCAGAAGTTTGTGTCACCAAGTTTGAAGGTTGTTGCCAGCTTTGCGCACGCCCAAGAACTAAGATGAACAAACCGTAACTGCCGCAATTAACCCAGAACAGCTGCACGCTGAGCTGAACATGATCCACGCTCAGGGAGCCTTCCGCAATCCAGCTGCTGGTCTTCCTATTGGTCTTGGCTGTGCTCATCATGCAACTCCTCTGGCTGTTTCAAAATCCATCCCGCCGGCGCACGGAATCTTGTCGCTGTGTGAAACGTCAAACCTATGAGGCATTGGCTCATGTACAGTCAGGAGAGTAGTCAAAAACCATACACCCGGAGAGCATTGAAATAGCAAAAATATGCAAAAATAGCAAAGTATATCAAAGTATCCAAAGAGATCAAAAGAGGATAAAGATCGAGGTTCCTGACGGTTGCTGGATGTTCATCGAAAATGCTGCCGAAGCGCTGAAACCAAGTTCTACTAGGTTAGTCCAACGCTGTCCTGTTTCACTGGCACATCTGCATTTTTTGACCTTTAAGCAGAGGGCATCTGCGATGTGCCCGATGTTGAAGGCATCAAACGTCCTGAAACTATGAAGCCTTCAAACCTACACATTTGCAAGTTTCTCAAGTTTACTATCGCATGTCGTTTGCAAGCCGAAGGTGCGAAAAGATGCACGGTTTGACGAATCCAATGCTGAAACTGCAGGATCCTTCTAGTTTGGGTGCAGCAAAGGGCATGCTCTTTGGGATGAGATTGGTTTCTTTTGGTTTCTTTCTGCCTTAAGGCGGGCTGAGACGCTGTTTCTCCATCCTGTCCAATTTTTTGCAGTGGAGGCCGGAGTTTGGTTGGAAATGGGGGGTTCAGTGTGGCAGGGTAGATTCCGTATAATGTGTCGCGCGTCATGCTCCATTCATTTCCAATTCATGATCCTTTATTTCCCATTCAAATTTCTTTCATTTTCCTCTGTCTACGCCTATACCTATCTATATACCATTTGAATTGTTCTAGCCATCTTCTGATCTTATCCCGTCTTGCCTTGTCTAGTCTTGTCATATCTTTTCTTATCTGTCTGATCTTACCTTACCTCAATCTAATCTTATCGTATGGTATGTTAATTTTTGTTGTGTTAACTATCCGTCTTTTGATTTTTCCATCCAATAATTATGAAAATCATGCCAGGCTGCCTCCAGGTATGGAGGTGGAGATGTAAACGACATGTGATAATAACTTTTTGGTGCAAATCAGATCAAACCGGTATGTTTGATCCTTTAACTCCTTTTACTCCTTTTACCCTCGCCGGGGCTGGTTTGCATCATTCGTTTTATATGCCTTCCCCACCGGAGGTCAGCCCAAGCTCCGGTGTGTTCTGGTTTGGTCCTTCTGGCCCTTCTGGTCCCAGGGCGCGGGAACCAGATCTGGGTTCAGGTTTCTGCTGGGGGTTCAACAGGTTCAAGATCTGTGAAGCTGCTGCTCATCGCTATTTGGGATACAATTGAAGCTTTTCCACATGGGCAAGACGGTGGCGGAAGTTTCCAAGATAGGGGCCTGATGGCGGGTGATTTGAAGATGTAGAGTACAAATGGCAGGCCTATTGACTGACAGGAAGACTTTTGGAGCCGTGATGCCTCACTGCCTGGCTGTCTACCATCGAATTGTTCAGATCTATCTGGCCTATCTCATCTAATCAAATTCATGTACCCAAGCGATGCCATCCTGTCCAGCGAACCTATCTAATCAACCTATCTAATCAGTCTATCTGAGTCTATCTTATCTGTCCAATCGGTTTGTTTGTTTGTTTGTTTGTTTGTTTGTTTGTTTGTTTGTTTGTTTATCATGGTTTATCTGTGCATCTGTACCTATTTTTCTTTTCGCGCACGCATATCTTAAGAAGTGAGACTTCTCAATTACATTTCCTTCGATTCATATCGATTTGACAACCAGACCGGATCCATCGATTGCCGAAGCAGAAAGTCGGACAACTGCAGTGGCATTGCTTGGCATTGCTTGGCATGTTTAGTGCAGGCAAGTGCCCATAACAGACCATCTTTGAATTTGGGAAAGTCCGAATTTATCGTTTATCGAATTTAAAGACAGCAAATTATCAACTTTACTTTCCTGTAGATTTGCCTTGATCAGTTCCTAACATATTTCAGATGCATTCACCCCAGTCTCCAAGCCATCGAACCCGTGTCATAAATCGCTGGTTCGAAGCACAGCTCGGGAAGCTCGGGAAACTCCTGCCTCTGCATCAAGCCACAAATCAAGCCACTCACAAAATCTCAAGATCAACGGATCAACCCAGTCTGCTTGCTACTCATAGCTCCAGGTAGTTTTGGGGCCAGGCCAACTCTAGTGGGTAACGCGTAGCAATTATTTGCAGTTGTAGTATCTAGCTTTATCTGCGGTTATATGCTTGCAACTATGTCTAATGTGTCTAATTGTGTCTAATTGTGTCTAATTGCGACTGCGACTGACTGTGTGACTGTGACTGTGCACATCTTAGATTGCATAGAACATTTAGAAGCTGGAAATTCCAAGTTGAAGCTAAAGTTGAGTTGCAAGTTCAATTTCTTGGACGGGTTGATGGTTGATGATGCTTGATGATGCTTGAGAAGTTGGGCCCAGTTGGACGGCCTGTCAGGATGTCGATGTGAGGCGTTGCGTTGTGCTGTGCTGTCGGGTTCTAAGTCGGCGCCAGGTTGACCTTGACTGATCGGGCCATGGCTACTTCGGCTAAGCGTAACTAAATGTTAGCCGCAGGTGTTCATGTGGTTCATTTGGGTTCACTTGGTTCATTTCAAGGAATATGCATCAGTGATGAAATATGAGAAATTAAAGCGAAGGGTAGGATCCGAGCCACACATTTCCATGCCCATTTCACCTTTTTGTTTTTGTTATGGCTCATCCTGGTATTTAAATTGACTTCTTAATATCAGGGAAGGAATGAGCGCACGAAGATGATGACCAGATAAGCAGGACATGACCCCGTTGCCCGTTGCTGTTTCTCTATTCAGAAAACTACTTGGAGAAAGTCACAGATGTCAAGAAGAACATGGCTATCCTTTCGTGTAGTTCTACTCGATTTTCTGTGAGAGAAAAGCCGGAGCTCATGCCATTTCATGCCATTTCATGCAAACCTTTTAAAGAGATTTTGCGAGAAAAGTCCAAAAACAACTTGATGGCACCGAAGGAACCTGTCCCAATCTCTTCAGTTTTGAAACCCTGAGAGATGGCGGGTGCCAGCCGCCACGGTTCCTGGGCATTATCTTGCTCTACACTTCGCAGTCCCAACGCTGTGGAAGAAGTGTGCCGGTTGGGGCTCTTCCGTTCGGCTATGCCCTGTCAATTGTTATCAAGAAACTCGGTCAACATTGGCAGAGCAGGGCTCAGAAGGGTTCGACTGGGAGTTTTGTTTATTGCGTTGTTTATTTTGCTTGTTTCACGTGATCGACGTTCAGAGTCATTGCATTGAAGATCACCGAAGATCAGTGGATTTCATCATTGAATATCATCGCTGAATCTCATCATTGAATCCCATCCTTGAATCTCATCTTTGGGTTTCATCGTTGAATCCCTTCTCTGAATTTCATTATTGATCATTATTGAATACCAGTAGTACCGCACGAGGCTGTGGCAGAAGTTCCCAAGATATGAACCATACAGGACGGGTGAAATGTTTTGATGTCGCGATGTGAAGGCTATCAGCTCAGTGAAACTCGCTGTCTGGTTTCATGATCCACCTGATGTAACTGATCTTTCTGACGTGCCTGACTTATCTATCTGTCTATCTATCTGATCTGTTTGACCTGTCTTGTGTATCTGAACTGTCGGGGCATTCGGGGCTATCTATCTGATCGATCGACGATCTTTCTATCTACCTGTCTGATCTATTTAAACTACCTCTCTATCGATCTGATCTTGATCTATCCATTTGATTTGTCTATCTGATTATTTTATCGCATCGGTCGATTTATCTATAAAACTACCTAAATAACTATCTACCTATCTATCTGTCTATCTGCCTGGTTTTGTTATCTATCTATCTATCTATCTATCTATCTATCTATCTATCTATCTATCTATCTATTTGTCTGACCCATCTAACTGTCAATCTGATCTAGTGATTTATCTAACAGTTTATCTACCTAGCAGTTTATCTATGTTGCTGACCTATCGTTCTATCTTTTTCATCTATCTATATCTGATCGACCTACCTATGTATCTGTCTATTTGATCTACCTTTTCGATCTACCTATCTGATCGATCGATCTATCTATCTGATCTATCTACCGGCCTATTTGTCGTTTTATTTTTCTGATCGATCTACCTACCTTTCTTTCTTTCGTTTTTTTTTGACCTATCTACCTTCCTCTCTTTCTATCTATCTATCGATCCATCTGTCCATCCAGTCATCTATCTATCTTTCTTTCTATCTTTTTATCTATCGTTATCTATCTATCTTTCTTTCTTTCTGATGTATCTATCTGTCTGATCTAGCTATGTGTCCTTTTCTCTATCTACCTGTCTATCCGAGTTACCTGTCTATCTATCTATCTGTCTGTCTGTCTGTCTGTCTGTCTATCTGATCGGTCTGATGTGCCTATCTGATCTATCTTTTTGATCTATTTGTCTATATGCCTATCCATCTTCCATCTGATTTTGTATTTACCCTTGTACCTTGCTGATCTATCTGATCCACCTACCTGTCTGACTGATGAACATATAGCCAACCTGCAAGGCACTTGCCAAAAAATCGGAGTTGAACTAACAAACATGCAGCAATTGTGGGAGACTTCCTCCAGAAATGAAAGTTGCAGAGCTGAAAGCAAAGCAACTTTGCGAGGCTTCCTCCATTTTGGAGCTGCTGGCTGCACAACTTGCGGCTCCGTACCATTGCTCTTGGCGATTTTCCATCTGAAGTGTTGAAAGTATTCCGCTTGCCACGAAAAATTGAAGCCGAGTCATCGGAAGTGCTGTACCTGCCACGCGAAATGATCTTCAAAATTTCAGAAAACCCGAAGCTCAAAAATGCAACCTCTCTCATTGCAAAGCATAGAAAAAGCTGGTTTTTGCTACTTTTTGCAACGTGCCGATTTCCTTTCGCCTTCCACGCAAAACGCAGTGCCCAAGGATGCGGTAAATCACTGGCCTTTAAAGGTAATGTCTGCTGGCTACAGCTAGTGGTCTGATGGCCGCAGGAATTAAAAAAAATCTCGCTACGCGGCGCCGCCAATCACTATACTTGCACGGGGTGGTAAAATTTCTATAGAGATCTTTACCCCGTAAGGCAAAATCCTAGGCCAGTGGTTCAATAGTTAAGCTGGTGCCTCGAAAAAATCCGAGGACCACTTGGTCCTTCGGAAAAACATCATGTCAGCGTCAAAACGCTAAATGCAAAAACCAGCGGAAAGTATGTCATGCCGCACGACTTTCGCTTTCAAGTGTTTTTGTTCTGACTTACGAAGTAAGCTTGCCCAGAAACCAAGATGGAAGATGAATATCCGAGAAAGGGAGGATCCGAGACCGAAGCTCCTCCCTATGTCTTAGCCCGACAAATCCTTTCCGCTGAACCGGTGGAGGGCGCTATGCGCTTGAATCACTTCTACACCCTTGAGGAAGGAACCCACCAGTTCCTCTTGTAGATTCAATGAGCGGTTGGTTTAAGTATTGTAGAATACAACTCTGTTAGAATAATAAGAGGCCGGGCATGACCAGAGGAAAATCCGTAAAAGCAACTTTTCCTTTGGACTAGCAAAGCAGCTTCGCGCCACAGCGGCGCGAAAATTTTTGCGGAGCTTTTCCAGCCGACCTCTCTGCGCCCGCCGTTTTAGCGAGCAAACCTTCTGACCGTCCAGAGCGACGAAGCATGGAGAAAACATAGGATTGCGCGCTGCGTCTCGTCACTATCTATCTCTTGACTGTCTATTGCTTCATCTTTCGAAGAGTCGGAAGTGACTTCAACCCATCGCTGAACGTCATTGAACGGTAGACTGCCGTAGACCCTTGATTCAAGTGCGTTCTCATTCTCCGCTGTGGCTTGCCCTTGGATAACTTTACACGATGCTGAGGCTTTGGAGTCATTTTTCAAGACGGTTTGTCGGCTCTGTTGGCTGCTGGCAACTGCAAAGCCCGCTGTCCCACCAGGGAACAGGCAGGAAAGGGGCATGGAAAATTTATGGACAAGCGATAAACGGCATTTCCGAGTTCTCTGGAAAGTTTTCGAGAAATGGCGAGAAAATGTTATGTTTTCATTTTCTTGTTGGCAGACTCGCTGTTGTGATTCCTTGCCGTCTCATGACGATTTCCTTTCCAAGAAGCCTTGCACTTTCAGACAGCATAAGCATGTTTAAAACATGTTAAAACATTTTTCCAACACAACATGTATCAAGATCTGCAAAAATATTCCGGATTCCGGAAGGATGAGCCCCACTTGCCAGGTGAGGTTTGTTAGATTTTATCAGAGCTGTTCTGCTCTTCCTCCTCATTCTGCTCCTCATTTTCCTTCTCATTCTCTTCGTCGTCCTCCACCGCCGGGCCTCCACTGCATGCCGGACCTCCACCGCAAGATTCAGGGCAGAAAGATTCTCAGAAGATAGGTCAGATAGAATGCCAGGATTTTTGCCAGATAGAATGCCAGAGTATTTGCCAGAAAATATGTCAGATAGAATAGTTGTGAAAACACACTGTTCCCGAGGGTATATACACAGTAGACGACCATACATTCATGGACCTGCCAGGTAGCACTGTTCATTTTGGTTTATCCGACTTTACTTTGGCTCAAGTACTGCGCATAAAAAGGGGCTCCGCTTTGGGGTTAGTTGTGCGCTTGAGCTTCGTGCATTGTTTGGTGTGGTTGGCTGTGCCCATCAAACAACTAGAATGCCAGAAAGAAGGCTAGGATATATGCCAGATATAATGGCCGAACTTTTGCCAGAATGTATGCAATGGCACAATATGTGTCAGACAGGGTGCCAAACATAATGCCCGAAATATGCCAGATAGAATGCCAAATAGAATTGCGCCTATGTCGGATAGAATGTGAGATGGAATGCCAGGATAGATGTCAGATAGGATTCCAGAAAGAACGCTAGGATATATGCCAGAGAGAATGTCAGAAATTTTGCCAGAATATATGTCAGATGGAATGGCGCAATATATGTCAGATAGGGTGCCGGATTTGTTGCCAGGCTTAATGTGCCAATGCCAGATAGAATGGCAGAGCATGTGTCAGGTAGAATGCCAGATAAACTGCCAAAATGTATTTCAAATAGATTGCCAGAATATTTGCCAAATAGAATTTCAAGGGATATGCCATGACGGCACTGTCTCATTCCAAGGGGTGTTTGGGTGTTGTGCCATCAGACAGCATGTGTTGAAACATGTCGAAGCATGTTAACCTTGTGACTGTCACGACCGACAGATCTTTTTTTTGAGCAGCCAATCCAAAGTACCCTGCGGAGGTGCAAGGTGCGGGAGAACACGTTTTTGCGAAAAGTACGGAGACTGACCACGTGGATCTCTTCATTGGTCATTCCTGGAAAGCCGGGCGCTGGGAGAAATTCTTCTCGCTCTGCACGTCACTTGGCATCCAGTTTGATGTTTTCAATGTTTCAAGCAACGACGCAAATCAGTTCGTAGGTAAAAATCAGAAGCAAACCTTAGTGGTAGTCGGAAGCCACGCATAATGGGAGCAAGAATCGGTTTATGAATTTTGGTCATATCTTAGTTGTGTATTCTAAGCGTGTCGTGAAAAGATAAGGAGGTTTCCTCAATACAGCTCTCATATGACCCTCTACAAAGGGATAGGAACCTTTTGGTAATTGGCGCTTTGTGCAGAACTTTGTCACATCGTCACTATTTTTTTTCCATGTTGTAGGTCTAAAGTGAGACCTGTTGGGGCCACTAGAGACCACGGTTTCAATGAAAATTGAAAGGTCGTTCTTAGCGCAATGGGAAAGTTGGTTGTCCTGTTGAGGGTGGTCTGGATTGCATTGTTTTGTCCAGCCGATGGCGTCCAGCTCTGTGTTCAGCTCAGCTAGGGGGTTTTACATTTCGATACATTTTGTCACATTTTGATACGCTTTGTCACATTTTGATACTAAGGTTGAAAAAGGGGAAAAGTGCAAACCGCCCAAAGCGATATTTTTCTTGAGCCAAAAGTCAAAAGATCCTGAGATTAGTGCATGTCACCCTTGCAGGGGCCAATCTTTACAACCCTGTGATGCACTCCTCGATTTGTGCGTGAGGCTTCCATGAGCCACACTCCCCCTGCCATCCCATGGCATTCGGTGAATGGAAGGTCCTTGTGGCCTCTTGAAAAGTAAGGCTGAGTCATTCATTCACAAACTCATCGTCCTGATTTTCAGGACTATTCTCGGAAGGGACTGACCGGCCAGCTTCAACAATTGGCTGGGGTTTCAATGGTCTCACCACATCTCCATCCGGCAGCTGGAACCCGTACTCGACATCCTCTGCTGTCCAAGGCCTCATTCCCAGTTTCACTGGAGATTGAACAGCAGTCCGGCCTCTGGCTCCGGCCGATGATCCCGACGTCCCTCCTCTGTATGTCGGCCGCATCATGTCCAACCCCGGCGGCAAAGGTGAGCTCGGTGGTTGAGTTGTCTCTAAATCCTCCACTCAATGCCGCCTTTGATCTCGTTCCACCAGGATCTTCTTCCAGTGTTGGTAGTGCTGCTCTCCATCCTGATGCCATCATCGATGCAATTGATCCCGGTGGTTCCTCTGCGGGGGTTTGGGAAGACCATGAGCTAGCTTCTGATTTTCCTGACGATGCACCGCTGGTCATCGCCGATGAGCTCCTCCACCGATGGGTCGCCTCGCTGATAGAGCTCCTTGATCTCGAATCGCCGACAGAGCTCCTCGATCTCGAATCACCTTAGAGCTCCTCGATCTCGAATCGCCGATAGAGCTCCTCGATCTCGAATCGCCGATAGAGCTCGCCGACGGTGTAGTTCCTTCAGCTGCCACAGTGATGGGATACCCATGGTATCTTGGAGCTGGAGGACGCATGTGGAGAAGATCCTCTGCTCTTCTCCTGGGCAATGGCGGCCTATAGGGTCCACGGCCGGATTTGTGATGTTCTCGTCCTGCATCGCCTCCTCCGTTGCCTCATGGTCTCGCCAGGCATCATCTCACGTTCTAACCTGAACACCGTAAACCTTTTCCACTGCCCCAGCACCCCGCCATCCAGCTCTTGTGGTACGCCTGGTGCCCACCGGTCCGTATAAGTCCTCCTGACCCACCTTCCTCCACGGTCATCCGTCGTGAAGACAAACACCACCGTTGTTCTCTCGTTGCCTCTGTTTAGTGGTTGCCCTGGTTTCCCTTGAGTCATCCGGGGCAAAACATGGCAGCATCGATAGAATTAATCGCCCGTCAAGTCACCAATGATAGAAAAATGTGCAATTTTCCAAGCACTTCCGATGTGCCAACTGGAAGAGTTAAAAGCAATCATCCGGAAGTAAAACTGATTTATTTCCAAAGCCTTTGCAGCTGACACACAAACACACCGACACACACCGACACACACACCGACACACACACACACACACACTAGATAAGAATGGATCATTATAGTGATCCGGCAGGAACTGAATCCTGTAACGTGCAAATTAGATGGGAAACAAATTAATCAACAACGAATCCTACAAATTTGCAGGTACGTCGGGATGATCAGTCCCGATATCACAATCTCAAACCACCGTCTTCGTTGGGCAGTGGATGGAATGAGATTCACTGCCCCCCTGCATTAGTATTGAGATTAGAAAGGGAGAGGACCGAAGGAAGAAAAAGAGAGAAGTTTTACATCTATTTAGATGTTACACACACTTGCTCAGAAACGTCTTATCGAATTACTGATGTGGAATGCATCGGACGTGCAAAGACAACACAGTTAAACCTAACAGGAGAAATGAAAAAAATATATATATATATATATAGGACTCCGGTGGCCACCAGCTGCGACTTATAATTGCGCCCAGGTGCACCACCGGAGTCCTGCAGGTACGTTTACACGGGTCCCGGGGAGGTGTCTTCGTTGGTCACCGACCCCCCCGGGACCCCGGTGACCCCCTGCAAATTAGAAGTTTTACATCTATTCAGATGGTACACACACACACACGCCCCGCCACAGCGGGGCAGATGAGATGAGGATGAAAATGACATGAAGGTGAAAATGGAATGAAAGTTACTTAGCCAGGACGCGAAGAGGGGAACGCAAGAGAAGAGGGAAGGAGCAAACACCAACACAACACACCTAGCCCGAAACGGGCAAACCCTGAAAAGGCAAGGAAAAAGAAAAGCGAAGGCCGACGGACACGCAACCAGACCAGCGGAGGAGGGGGAGGACGGAAGCGCCTGAACCAACCTAACAAAGCGAAACCTAAGCCTACCTCGGCACGCGCAGGACCCAGCCTACCTGAAGGGAGGAGAACGCAGAAACACATGAGAAAGGGGACCCATGGGGACTAGTTAGAAAAATGATGCAACCACAATTCATGCAAGGATCGTGATAAGGCTCAAAGGCCCTCGGCTGTCAAGTTCCAACCCTATAGACGGCTTAAGTATTCAACCCCTGAATTAAGTGCACAATTTCAACCTCACCAAACAACCAAAAGAGAAGTGACCAAACCTGGAAAGCATGTCCTGTTACCTGTTCATGTCAAAATGGCTGCGGGCAGTCTCTTGAACATCACTGGGAAAGGAAGGTGTTAGCGTGGCTTCAAACTATGCAGTGGCACTCCAAGAAATGGTGAGTGCTCGAACGGCAGCCCATTGTTCAACAAATCGACATCGACGAGGTGAAAACCGAAAGATGGCCGGCAGTTCACTTTACTTAGACGAATTACTAATTCAAAAGTGTAAATTCAGACATCGTGTTACCGTCAATTGTTAGCCTAGAAAGGCTTTCCCCGAAGGGCTCATACCACCTTGTCGGACAACGGTATGAGTGACACACTTGCTCAGAAACGTCTTATCGAATTACTGATGTGGAATGCATCGGACGTGCAAAGACAACACAGTTAAACCTAACAGGAGAAATGAAAAAAAAAAAATATATATATATATAGGACTCCGGTGGCCACCAGCTGCGACTTATAATTGCGCCCAGGTGCACCACCGGAGTCCTGCAGGTACGTTTACACGGGTCCCGGGGAGGTGTCTTCGTTGGTCACCGACCCCCCCGGGACCCCGGTGACCCCCTGCAAATTAGAAGTTTTACATCTATTCAGATGGTACACACACACAGACACACAGACACACACACACACACACCCGGCCGGAGCCGGGTCAACCCTCAAAGGCAAGAGGAAGAAAAAACGAACACAGACGACGGGCAGAAGGCCAGAACCGAGCAGGGGGGGAGGGGAACAAACGGACCTCCAAAACCAACCTACACGGCGAAACGGACCTGACCAAAACAGCGCACACACCTAAACTCCACGACGCATTACGGAGAGGCACGCGGGGGAAATTAGGGACCAAATGGGGGACTAGTTGATGACAGACAAGAAAACCAAAACAATTAATTAAACAACAGGACTCAGTTCCTAACTACCTAAAGGTCGTGCGTTATTCCCTTTCTGGGACCGTGGTCAAGTCTTGCCCCAATTGGCACAAACGGCTTTCAAGTTCCAGCGAATTAGGTGCACAACATGTTTCACCTCACCAGATACCAAAGAGACCACACCTGCAGGAAAAGGACATGCCTGTTGCCTTTTGTCTCTAATGTCATGTTGCATCTGAAACGCTGAAGCTGGAGTAAAAAGGTTTCTGATTGTTCGGCACGGCTTCACAGTTGAAGAGATGCATTGGCGAGGAATCCCTGGGACCACAGGAGCCGCGAGACTTCGTCAAAGGCACAAAACGGTAAGGCCAACAGTTGCACTATACTTAGACGAATTACTAATTCAAAAGTGTAAATTCGGAAGACAATTCAGTCGACATTCACCCCAAATAGGGTTGCCTCACTTGGCCCTATGGCACCATGTCGGAGTCACCATAGGAATCACACTAGATAAGAATGGATCGTTATAGTTATCCGGCAGGAACTGAATCCTGCAACGTGCAAATTAGATGGGAAACAAATTAATCAACAACGAATCCTACAAATTTGCAGGTACGTCGGGATGATCAGTCCCGATATCACAATCTCAAACCACCGTCTTCGTTGGGCAGTGGATGGAATGAGATTCACTGCCCCCCTGCATTAGTATTAAGATTAGAAAGGGAGAGGACCGAAGGAAGAAAAAGAGAGAAGTTTTACATCTATTTAGATGTTACACACACACACACACGCGCACACACACACACACTGGACTGGTTTTGAGACTTGAAGCTGGTTCCAAAGGTAGTGCTCCTCGAAGTCCGAATTGAGGTCGCAAAGGTCGAAAAGGTCGAATCAACAGATTTCAAAAACTGTGTGAATGGAAGCACCGCACAGCATTGAACAGGAACAGAAATCAACAGTTCAAACTGTTTTGGCGCAGGTACACACGGGTGATCAATCTGTGCTTCCTGGGATTCTTGCAAAGAGCTTCGTTGGGCAGAACTCTG